TATGAAAGGCGGAAGAGGAAGTAGTTCCTTTGAATGTAGACAATCCGAATGTTATAGTTTCTTTCCACTGTGTTCCTGTTAATGATAAACTACAAATTTACTCTAAATTACTAAAATATTGATATTTTAATGTGAGAATCGATTCTAGAACATAAATGATTGGTATCGAAGGAATTGATATTTCAGGATTGATCCGCACATCACTACCCATTAGCTGTGCCATCACTGGAACTTATTTCCTAAGCACAGGAATGCTTCATGGCTAATCAAAGTCCTTAGAGAAGCAAGTCTGGGTACTCAGCAGCCATACTGGTAATGCTTCCCTAGGTAGTTATTTCGAAGTATTATTGAAATTAACTTTAATTTATTAACTGCTTATCCAATTCAGAGTCACAGAGGGGATAGAGCCTATCCCAGCTGTCACAGGGTGAGAGGTTGGGTACACTCTGGGCAGGTTGTCGGTCTATTGCAGGGCTAACACAGAGAAAGAGTGTGTTAACACTCACAGCCACACCTATGGCCAACCACTGAACCTAACATGCATGTAGTCGGAGTGTGGGAGAACGTCAGAGCACCTGGAGAACTGGGAGAGAACTCATGCAAGCACTGGGAGAACATCCACACAGAACGGTTTCAAACCAGGGTGCACTAATAACTTTAATTTCAATCTCCTAAAATAAAATGCTTAAAAAGTTTGCTGACAAATGCACTGTTACAGATTTCTTTCATAGATGTCATATTAGGACTGCCACTTTTCTCTCCTATTATGTTTCTGGTTTAATCCCGTGCTTTTGCCGGATGAAAGAAGGATTAACTGTAAAGAATTGGGTGTTTCAGAAAGCGTTCTCACAACTTTAAACCCTCCCAAACTCAGATATGGTGTAAGTTAAAGATTTACTGAACATTTCTGCCCCAAAGTTAGTGACACCACAAAATAAAGTAATCATGGATAGCTGGAGTGTGAACATCGCAGCAGCTCATAACCAACAATCAGCGCTTTATCGTGTAAAAAAATTGGCTAACTTGACTTTGTTAGGACATAAAACTTTGCTGATTTATTTAAGAGCAGTTCCAATTTCAGATGACCAATATTTTCTTTGCTTGAGGGTAGTTTCTGTTTTGTGTAGTTTACGGATAATCACATTCAAAGCCATTTTTTAAATATATATACCAAGGAGAGTATGCTGTGAAATAGTGATGTGTGGAAAAAAAGATTGGTAAGAACAAAGAGTAAAATAAAATAAAAAAATAGATAAAAATGAAAAAGAGCGAAATGTGGAAAAATGGATTGAGACAAAAAAATGTAGCAATCAAAAGAAACAGTCAAAGAAAGAAAAAAAGACAGTGGGAGAGCGATGAAGACAGACAGAGTTCATGTATTTCATCATGCCATCTGTGAGGCTCTGATCAATGTCTCATTATCACTTCAACACCGGCTCCTTGCTGAGACTCTTCAGCCTGTCCTCTCTCACCCCCTTCCTCCCTCCCTCCACCTCTCCTTCCTCCTCTATCCTCCTTCCTCCTCCCTCGTGAATTTCTCTCCATCTCCTCTGCTGACACAATCCCTCCTTCCTCCGGTGCAATCTCGAGGAACGGGCGCAGGCGGCTGCAGGTGAAGGCGAGAAACTTGCCCCCGTGTGTTTTCCAGCGCGAGGCGTTAAGTTCGAATTAGGCTGAGAGTGAAACCCACATTCATTCGCTGAAACAATGCGCGCATGTGTGTGTTTATGTGTTCCCGCTGCATTCAATGTAATGCTAATCCAATTCATTTTTAATGAGGAAACTGTCAGCTCTTACCGCGAGGCGAAAGAGATAAGCGGTCTGTTGCACTCTGGGAAATCAATAGCGCACTTGTTTATTTTGCTGTTTGAATTGTTTGTGTGTTTAAAAAACAAACCATCGGGATACGCTGCCAAGATAAGTGTTGCTTCAAAAAGCTTTAACTCCTTTGTACACACAGTTTGTGTGTGTGTGTGTGCGCGCGCATCACTCCAGAGAAAGATTACCACAAGTCTAACAGCAATGTAATTAATTTACTCTGTGTCGATAGGAAAGAAAGAGAGGAGATATCGTTACAATTGACTGTTTCTGTTTTCGGACGAGGCGCACAGGCAGGCGGGCGGGTGATAAGACTCATAAAGCCGGCTCTGGGATGTATCAGGAGTCGGTTTTGCATTCGAGGATAAATCGGAGCAGAAGCGGCCTCACGCTGAGCTCCAAAAATAGTTAAAAGATGCCGAAGAAAGAATCACAAAGGTTTAGGGAAGTGTTAAATAAAAACCCCCCCCACACACGCACAAGATTAACCAATACTGTTATCTCTCTCAGTCTCTTTCTCTTCTTCCATCTCCACTGACTAAACTAATAAAGCTGTGCGCAGCCATACGTCACTGTTACAGCGGATCTAACACTGGGTTTATTAAAGGTCATTACCGTTAAATGGATGGACGTGTAACGTATGGTCTGCTCTATATTTCACCATTCCCACTGTGAGCAGCGGCTTCTTTATTAAGTTCCACCATCCTTACCCTGACAGTTATTTCTTATAAAGTGATATTTGGCCATATTTCAGTGGAGCGGATGATGGCTTTTATAAGCATTTCTCCCCCTGCCTTCCCAGATGCTGTCATTTTGCTCTCCTCCCCTGCAGTGGACAGTGACATACATGGCAGGCTAGAAGGAAAGCTCTGTGATGCTGCTGTGGCAAATGAGCTGCATTTAACGTACATGTGAGTTCTGCATGTGTCCGAGAAATGCTATTAAATGTAGCATTGCTGGCTTTAAATGGGCAGCTCATCCAAACCAAAATTCCGCTCAATTACTCAGCATTAAGGGTCACTTCATCCAAACTGCAAAAACCTACATTTTCTCACTTAACTGTCTAAATAATTTTAATTTCATTTGCCAGATTTTTCACATACCCAATGCGCTGCTAAGGTTTGTTGAGCTCTGCCACACTACATAATTCTAATGGGAACCATTTCACACCAAAAAATCCCCAAATTGGGGTCTTCTGGTTATTCATCCAGCAAAACTGCAAATCTCCGAGGAAGCTTAGATGTTTTTTTTCTTTCAAAACTGCACTCTTGTTTTTACTTTTTTTTGAACCGCAAAAATTGGGTCGCGCTAATTTCTGATGCAGCTGGAGTCCGAGCAGCAAAACGTGTGAAAATAACTGCTCTTGTGTAAATTTACCGAGAAGGTAAGGAAAGCCCGAGTTATTACCTCATAGTGTGAAGAACAAAATGTCACAGCAGTGTATTTACTTTAAAAATGTCAAGAAAAAAAAAGAAAAGAGTTATTAAATTTTTTTGCTTGACATTCAAGTTTAGTTCAGATTTGGTACTGAAAACATCCGCTATGGGCTGTAAGAAGAATTAAAAAAGTCAGATTGACTATTTAGAAATAACTTCCCAGAGTCCTGCCATTTAATAACATGACCTCTGGAGTACATAAAAGCTAAACTCTGCAAGGGAAAATGAGAAACAATGATTGTTTTTAGCACCTAAGTCAGCGGTCTCCATCTTTTTTCAGCTGCCTTACACAATCACGCCCTAATAAGTTCATTTGAACTCATTTTAAATAGGATCAGGACTTTTTAATTCATTTTAGCTGCCCATAACTTTAGCTTAACATTAAAACAATGGAGCTTTTACTTTTCGTTACTAATTAATTGAACAGGTAATTATGTTATGATAGTTAGTGACCAATTTCCCTGAGTTTATCTATTACTGTTCAGTTTGTTAACTATTAATCCAAACTTTAGTTGTTAATCAGGCCTTGTCACTAGCAGCTAACTGCTAACTAATAGTCACATTTGTTGCTAAATGTCATTCATAACTTCATATTAATAACTTTAGCTATCTATTGTGTTTGCAAACACTTTCGACTGTTTTCCTTCAACATGTCTTCTGCTTGATCAACGTGTTCGTTTTATGGCAAAGAAACCAAATTATTTCCTCCTGGATTTAGTGGGACATAGGTGTTTATCAGCTTCAGGTTTCTGTTTTTACGGCAGTTATATCGTTGTCCATGACTGAAAGCTCACGTCCAGTTGAAGCAATGGAATTAAACATGAGTCCAACAGTTTGAGTAATGGTAAGAAGTAAAGTGACCGTCTGGAAATAAATAAGGAACTAACTTATAACATATTTGTGAGTTGATTTTTCAAGGTCTGCATCTTCGCTCAACAAAATGCGTCAGAAGAAGCGATGAAGTATTTATAAATGAGCTAACAGATAACAGCAGGCCTACCCTTTAAAGATGCATCCACTGGTATTACACACTGTCCAACAGCTTCCTCTTTGAATGAGAAGGAATGGAGGATGAGGCTCGGTATAGGAAATCAATTCAGAGCTGGATCTGCGGTATGTAGTTTGGGAACGGGGTGATCTGAGGACGAGGGTGTGCGACACTGCTTGTGTGCATGCACGCGCGCGCGTGTGTGTAATAGATGCATTAGGGAGAGCGTGTGTGGCAAGAGGAGAGTGCATACAACATGTTTGTATGAGTGAGCAGCCACAGGGGAGAGAGGCCGGTTCACAACGAGGCCAAAACGATTCAACTTTCACTGACCTCCTTATGAACCACCTTAATAATTCATCACACATAGAAAAATATATTTATATATATCAGTATTGCCCCATCCCACCCCCTTTCTCTCCTCTGCTCTATGTTTCAATCTTTTCCCCGAGTCCCCCGCGCTGTCTGCCAATCAAGCAGAGATAGCCATTACCAAGCAAAATTCGAAAAAGGCTATTGATGCATGCATGCATGTGTATGTGTGTATGTGATATTGATGGGTCTGTCACTGTGCATGTGTGCAGTGCCACTCACCATTAGATTTCTCACTGTCTGCAGGTTTCATCTGAATAGGGTGGTGCATCTGTAGAGACAGAAAACAAGGACAAAAAAACACCTCATCAAATATCGGTACACATGCCCCAAAACACAATATGACGAATGCTGCAATTCACTTTGTCTCTTCACATCCAAATGAAATCCCAAGAGGATTTCATACTCTGTTAATTACACATGTTTTATAGAGATGCTTTTGTCAGATAAGAAATATGGCGGCAATTGCTTTGGTTTTCCCACAGCAGATAGAAATCTGTGTGAGACACAGTACGCCGCTCAGCTCCGCAGGGCGGCGGTAGAGCATCTAAACCGGTTTTCTCCAGCAAATGCCAGAAAACACGAGGAGGAGATGAAGATATAGGGATCAAGAGGGCAAGAGGAAGGACAGAAATGAGACCACATGCAAGAGCCAGAGCATGGGAAAGTACAAGGAGGATGCACATCAGCAAAAACCGAGAAGTAAATAAAAGAGGAAGAAGCCCCAAAAAGAAGAGGAGGAAGAAGAAGAGCAAGCGGTTTTCTGCTTGACATTTCTAAATCGCTTAGAAATAACTACCCAGGGACATAAACACATGGAAGATAACAGTTTGCTTGCAAGAAGTCCGCTCACTCACTTCAACAACTGCAACTGATTATTGTGGAGATAAAAGCTTCATACAATAGTCGGCCAGATGACCGCCAGCATGAAAAATGCTGGTGCTGGTGCGCTGCACACTGAGAGACATTAGCATATAAACATAACCTTTCAATATTTGGAATATTTCAGCATTGTTATTTGTCTGTCACTGTCACAGAAGAAAGACCTAAAAAGAGTTTATTTCCACAAATCACTGACTCACTTTGGTTTACAGACATGAACTCAATCCTTGCACGGGGTTGTATATGATAACGTTGATGCATGATCAGCTGGAGAGGACATTATGTTTCAGGCTTCCTAACCTGCTTCATGGTTCAGATGGTAAGAGATATTACTCTGCTAGATCTGAAGTATGAAGTCTGACATTAGAGCAGAATTGGTCAAAGGGTATCATGTTTCCTGTCTCCTGCTCGCTCTACAGCACCACCCCTCTTTAAAACCGGAGGATTTTCAACTCATCAGACATGGATGATTTCCTGTACAACATATGACTCTAGACCAGGCTTGGGCCTGACTGTTCAATGGATTCTCATCCCAGTGGTGTCTATCAGAAACTAATGGCATTAAAGATCCCAAATTGTCTTTTGCACTGTTTTTAAGGAGAGACCAAGTCCTCGTTAACCGAACGTTATCATCCCACAAAAGCTTCTTTTCGGACAAGGAGCGATGAGAGGGTCCTCCAAGGTTTTCACTGCGGGTTGTGGAAGTGGTGATGTGTCTTCATAGATCGAGAAGTTCAGCATAAAAAGCTGTGACAGCGACTGCTGTGGACTCTTTATGTTTTTTTAAACACTCAGTTTTACTTTGTATGTTGGAAGTTAGAATGTCGCTTTCCACTGCGGCTCACAGATGGACTAACAACAGCACAAAGGAAGAGTGACCCACAGCCCGGTTGTACCAAATACCTTATACACTGCCTCCATCTGGTAAAAGAGCCCACTGCAGGCAGACTGGACATTCTTTTTTTAACCTTATTTTTACTTTTGATTTTACTTGCTGTGTTAAAGGGTAGGCACCAAAAACAGCTTGGTTGGTATTAAAAAAGAGCTTTGGGTTAAAATGACAAAACTACCCAGTGCATATAAATGTTACGCCAAGGGTTCCTGAACAGTTGTCCATATGTGATAGGTTGGGCTAGTACCATGTTGTGTGCCACACACCACAGACACCAAAGGCATCTCAAACTTTATAAGCTTTACACCAGCTGAACATCTGGCTAAAATTGATTTCCAGGGTCAGAGCCAAAGGCTGGACACAGCAGGGGTCAAGGAAGAGCCACCTGCCACAAAACCAAAGCTGAAGCCTGCCCGGGACCCACGTAGTCATAGAACTGAACTGGACTTCCAGTCATTGCTGTTTTTCTAGCACAGTCTTTTTTTGAGGTATCATTTCTCAACTGTTTTTCCCACAAAGACATATTTTAACCACTCAACTGAGAGATACATTAAAAAGCTTATCACATGCTTGAGCTCTGACAGATCGCCGACCTGTCAGCTAGGAAGTGGTTTAAGTTGTGATCTGATTACATACTTTCGCATTAAGCCTTTCTGTTAACAGTCATTCTTATTGCACTGATTCTGCTCGGATTAACGTTGGATCTTACTGCACACAAGGTTGGCCCCAGTTCAAAGTAAACTGTCCTGCACATCCTTCTTTGGCTTTTGGCTGCCTTTAGGTTGTCGACTGGCTTGCATGAGACAGCTGGAATAGCAGGAAAAAGACATTTGAAATTGCTGGAGGGATTTCTTTCCTTGATCAAACTGCAGCTGTCATTTAGACCTGATTTGATCTCAGTATGATCCAGACCAACTGAAGACCCAGCCTGGCTTATCTTGATGCATTCTGACTGCTGTGCATTGTGTAAGTATTTACATTTTGCGATTTTTTTCTTCTTTCTTTATCCACACGCACAGTATTAAGAAACAGATTGCTCGTCTTTAGCAGGTGTAAATGGGGTTTAATGCCTGCATTTAGACTCGTCTTTTTAGATCCTGGATATCTCTCTGATGTATCCAAGAGGCAGTTTAATGGAGCTGAATGATGGATGGGTTTTTTAGGTGGTGAGTCTTCTTTTATGGAAAACAAAACAAAAAAAAACACTTCACAGATGAGACGCTCCCCCTCCCTCGCCTCGCCCTCCTTCATGCTCTCCTCCTCTGTCCCTTTTTTTATTCCCTCCATCTCTCTTTCCTTTATGGGAGATTATGTGGCTGTTTGATCTGCGGAGAGACGAATGACAGTGATTCTCCAAATCTAGCCCAGTATCAATCACACTCAGAGTCAAATACCAGCCGTGAGTGAGTAGGTCTGTGTCTGCGCGAGCGTGCATAAATGTGTGTGTGTGTCCGTGCGGGTGTGTATGCGCCCCGTCTTACCCATAACGCCCCTGGGCTCAGTCACGCTGTGACAGAAGGCTTTGATCTTCCAATTCTATCACACACCTTTATCCCAACTCTCTCCCTTCTTGCTCGCTTCCTTATCATCCTCACTCTGCTTTTTTCCCCTCCCTCCTCGTCTCCCAGACCTGTCCCAGATGAACGCACACACACACACACACACACACACACACACACACACACACACACACCCCTAGTCTGTTGATTAGTTCCCAAACCTGCCTGATGGGAGCAGTGAGTGGTGAATGAGGAAGAAACAATGTAGCAATAAAAGGCAGAAAGAAAGAGAGAAGAAAATCATCAGATAGAAGAGGAGACAAAGAAAGAAAAAAAAGGCAAGAAATAAAGCAAAAAAAACCTAAGAATGAAGCGAGAAAGAAATAAAGAAACAGGAGAAAATTAGAAAAAAGGAAGGAAGGAAACAACAAAGGTAGGAAAAAAGAAAGTAAGATAAAAAATTTAAAAAAATAGCAACATAAGGAAAAGTAAGAAAGAAAGAATACAAACTAAAGAGAAGAAAGTGTGAAATAAATAACGAAGAAAAGGAAAAAAGAAAGACCAAAAGATGAAAGAAAGACTAATTGAAAAGATGCAAACAAGAAATAAAGCAAAGAAAAAAGATAGCTAGAAAGATAGATAACAACCTAAAGAGAAGAAAATTACAAAGAAATTACAAAGAACGGAAAAAATAGAACCTAAGCAGAAGGAAGAATTAAAGAAATAAAGAGATAGATAGATAGATAACAACCTGAAAATAATAAAATAGAAGGAAAGAAAAAAGAAAAAGAAAGAAAGACAAATTACGACCTAAAGAGAAGAAAGAAAGAAAGAAAGAAAAAGTGAGACATGGTGAGACAGTGGATCCAACCAGAGGGAGGAAAGATAATAAATATCATATCATATATCATATGGACAGAAGAAGAGCTGTAGACTGTGGACAGTCAGAAATAATCGGCAACCCTTCAGGCTGGAGTCTCAGTACAGTATCACTAACACAAGGACAGATGCAGGGACATGGATGAGGAGTGTGTGTGTGTGTGTGTGTGTGTGTGGAGGAGTGGGGGGGGGTGTTGAAGCCACATCAAAAGAAGCAAAGTCATGTCAAAGCAAACCTGGAAGTCACATCAAGTCAGTTTTCGTTAATCCATTTCAAAGTCTGTCCTCCAAAGGCAAAAACAAAAACAAAAAAACAAAAACAAAAGGCATGACAGCATCCGCCGCGCTGCTGTCGTTCACTCCTGAAAAACACTGCCAAAAGCTGCACACACACACACAAACAAACACACACACATACACACAAGTACAAAAACTACGTCTGGCTTTCAGGCATCTCCTCCTCAGGTCTGTCTACACAAAATGCCTGGTGGGCGGGTGGCGCTGTCGACATGTTTGATCTTGGCGAGTTCCCGCCGAGATCCACAAAGCAAGACTCTCCTCCACTATCCCACAATTCCACTGCGAGGTTTCTTCTCGCCTGGCGGCCCCACAGCCACGGCCTGCCATTAATTATGTGCTCTGCGGGAGCCCGGCACAACTACTAAGTCCTGGGTGCGCTCAGACTCATTAAAAAAAAGCCCAGAGAACCAAAAAAACCTCCACAACGTGAAGCCACGTGTGCAGCCGCCTTGATGCTGCGCTGGCATTTAGCTTTATAAATGTATGCGTCTAGTCACCAGGAAGCTTAATCTTCTTCCTGTTTACCTGCTGCAAGCCTACGCGAGTGTTAATTCTCCCGTCTTTCCAGCCAAGAACTGAGTCGGCTTTCTTGGTAAATCTTTAATTGAAGTGGTTTTCATAAGCCACTCTAAGCCAGCGCGTAATAATTAATCAACAACAAGATTTACAAAATAGGAAAAATGAGAAATCCTTCAGAGGGCGGCTGTACAGTTAATGACACAAAGTTGAATTGAACGCAATTTCCCGATGTTTTGATTATTTGCAGTGAAAGTTTGCATGTGCTTTAAGGGGCTTATTATCTGCTTGTAGTGCATCCGC